AGAGACACTGAAAAGATTTGGTGAAGGGAATGTGGTTTCTGAGAGTAGCCACTCTTACTGAATGAAGTTCAAAAAGAGATAGAGAGGATTTTTTAAACAGAGATGGTGGAAGTCTGCAGCTGGGCAGCCTCTGTGCTGGTACCAAAGCCAGATTCTTTAGCAGGCAGAGTCAGCAAGGAAAGTATGGCCAAAATCAGCCATCAAACTGTGCAAACTGTGACCACAGCTTCACACTGAATTTTCCACAATGCATGTAAGTGAAACACAAGGAAAAATGTTTTGTACAAGTTTATGCACAAAAATATATATCCCCTCTTGACTTAGCTAGCAGACAATGTGCAGTTAATCACTGGCAAACAAGATCAGATTCAGGGCTTCTCTTTATATGGAAGTTACACTAGAATAAAGTCCAGTATTGGTTTGAAACAGAACTATTTATGAGTAACTTCTCTAAGGCAACAAGATTGTGCCTTTTTCTATTTTAGCTTAATCAAGTCTGTCATCTACTTGTGGACCTATATTCTATGCCTATGGGAGAAACAGGGAACTTTAGAGAAGAGAACTGGAAGCCATCAGGAATAAACAATATAAAGCAGGGCAAAGAGCATATGAAAGACACATGAGTGACTCAGATGAACAAGGCAGAGTGGAGCAAAAATAAGCAGAGCATAAAAAAAAAAAAAACAGCAGAAAGAGAAAGAAAAGAGTGACAGCATCAGAAAGTCTTCTGTATAGCCCATACGGGCAGGTGTGTGCTCATAGCACTTTCCCACAGCCCTGGGGAGGCATAAAATTTGATTGTTTAGCTTGAGGAATGCACACCTCCGAGAGCAGAACAGAATCAGCTGTGATCCTGATTTGCAAAACCAAATCTAGAGATAGGTAGTTTTATGAGCTGCAGCATTAGTGAAGAGGCCTGAAACTATCTGTTCTTCAGTGATTTCTACAGCAGCCATAGAACCCAAGTGCTGTGTTGAGCTGCAGCCCGCAGCAAGAGAAAACCTCCAAAATTTTAAGATCGCAAAACAATGCAGCCTTTCTGGATTTGTGAACAAGAAGGCTGAGTAAATATGGTAAGAAATTGATCAATTTAACTGGGGCTGCTACTTGGAAAAAGGCTGTTCATTTGTACAAGCAGTCACTGTTATTCACAGAAGAGAGGATGCAAGGCAGAGGTTGAAGAAAACCTTTCTTTGTAGCAACATATATGACCTAGGAGTAGGGTAACATAAAGCTCTCTAACCAGAAGGTACTTTTGTCCCTTCTCCCTTTCAGAAGCTAAAACATTCATTGGACACACATGATGCATGGGCGGATGTGGAAGATGGCTTTTCAACAGAGTGCAGAGCTAGTTCACTGGGAAAAATCACAGCACTGCTTTTCAGCAGCTACAAGAGAAACAGTTGGGCCTTACACCACTGCCCCAGGGCCCTCACTGCCACTAACTGTCTCCAGCATGCAAACAAGGGAGGGCTTTGGCTGTCCATGTGGCAAGTAATTGGTAACATTTCAGACCCTAGCTGTAAATGACAGTTTTCCAGTTTGTTCATTCTTAGTTGGGTAATGAGTGCAATGGCTACTGTCACTGAGGGCTAAATAGAGGTCGTGGAGTGATACTACAAGCACTGAATTATTTATGTACTGTAGCACAGGGATTTAGGGTCATGACTACTGGAAGATAATATTCTGGGTCATCCCCCTTTACTACAGAAGAAGATATCAGCTTTGAAAAGCAATAGCTGATAATCTGCTATCAAAGATTCCCTAACTGGTTCCCATGCTTCAATTAAGGAAAATACTCTACCCACTTAAGAAATGCTCCAGCAAAAAATGGAAAACTGACCACTGTCTGCATTCAGAGGGCAGAGGGCAACACCATACAAAACACTGCTTGGTAAAACTCTTTGAAATCAGCATCAGTTTCTATCTAGAGCCCAACATTCATTAGTTCCGTGTAACTCCGAAGTAAGATTCAGAGAGTCACATAAGAGGTAGTCATGTACATTCAGGCTGAAAGATGCTATAACCATTAAAAAAACTGTTACGTTTAAAACATTGCAAATGTTTCTGTAAACTATGAATATTTTAGCTTCTGTTTCTTCAAGCGCTTTCACTTACTGCTCTTAGAAATGAACCTAAGTATCAGTTACTAAAACTGCTCATCCCAAAATCACAACAGTGCCTCTGCTTTAAAGCTGCATGCTAGTGTCTGCAAACAAGACTGAATTTTCAGTTCTGAAACGCACATGCATATCTCAATGCACGGTCGTCCTTTCATTTCCCATGAGAGTGATGGCCCTTATGTGAATGTGTAAACCCTCTTTTCTATCAAAAGCCACAAATGAGCTCTGTACCCATCTAAATGTTCTTTCTAACTGCGTTAACAAGGATTTTCTCTAAAAGCTGAATGAGAACTTTGCAAAGACGTAATATCTACACATAGTTCTGCTAACTAACCATTTGTACCTCTTTACTACAAAATAAAATTTAAAGTGTGATATTGCTTTTTGCTGAAGTGTGAAGAAGTCTTGCTTAATCTCTCTGGGTGTAGAATAGTGCTCATGATGGGCTTTTTCTAGGACTGTTACGATTTTTGTTTAAGCTCTTGTTCTTCTCAAGAGATTTTGGTGGGCTGCACGCTGAGATTTAATGCACTTGTCATCATCACTACAGTAAATTACTCTGGATGTTACACTTAACTCCAATTGTCATAGCCTCAAAAAGATATAAATATCTAACTACATTCTGTTCATTCTGTTTTTGATTCTTCCCTGTTACTCAGCAGTAGTTCTCAGAGGCAAACAAAGACGAACCATTCCACTCCACATATTTATGTTCTGTTTAGATTGTAGATAGCATTGCTCCTTAGACTGGGCTAGACCTTATCTGCTGGAGATGCACTTCATAATATTTAAACCATCTTGTAATGTTGATCAAGTTCAGGTAACACATCTCCAAAAGGTATAACCTTTTACCAGCTATCATATTATAGAAGTCAATCAATTCCTTAAAATGCACTGAAAGTCAAGCTTTCCAAGCACTCAATCTGCCATTCATACTTCCACACACAGGTGAATCATTTTACCAGAACTTATCTAAATAAAGAAAAGCAAGCATCAAAGAAATGAAAACATCAGAAATAATTTAGACAAGTCTGGCAACACTGCCTCTGATTTCAAAGGGTGTAGGAACCAATCCTGCAACACACTGGAGCTACAGCAAAAGTAACATATGGGCATCAGTGTCAAATTTCCAAATCTAGTGTAAGGTAAGACTGTTTGTCTGATATAAATGGACAAAGTGGTCTTGAAACCGAAAGAGCTGGGCACTTGGGGAAGTAGCCCTTATTTAAGAAAACATGAGAAAAGAATCTTTTTCCTGACTAAGCTGCTTTCAGGATGCTTTTTGCACAGACACGAGCGACTTCAGAGATATTACAATATTTTTAACACTGTAACGTTATTTTCTCACAGCAGTGGTGTTTGTGTTAGAAAACATGGACTAGTAAATGCAAACTAGCATTACTTTTTGACCTCATTAAAGCTGTGACAGTTTACACCAGCCAGCACCCATGTATATGTAATCTTATAAAAAAAGGAGACTAAAATAGGAGACTAAATAAAACAGATCTCACCAAATAAATAAAAACTGTGGCACTTTCTCATTTCTTTTTCTGTGAAAAAAACTAAAATTCCTACCCTTAGACTGTGGACTCCCTTTGAAGTTCAGCCTTAAAAATATGGTCAAGGGCTTTATTTGTTTTGATTAAAACTTTTTAGTTATAATTATTTAAATTAAGCATTATCTGCTAGAGATAGACATTCTTCCCATCAGTGTGCTGCCAACTGTTCTTATAAAGAAACTCCTCACCAACTGATATGCTGAGACGTGGAAACCTCTTGGACTCCCAGCACACGAGAAGCACACTTCATTTGGAGGGACTTTTTCACTGAAAATGTGAGCTATAAAAGTGCATGCATTTATCTGAAAGGAGAAGTATTATGGAAGCCTGAGCTTTTAAAGAGCACATTCTTTGACACATTTTGATTGTTTGATCTTATGAAAAAATTAAAACAAAAATGCACACAACTGCAGCAAATAGAGTACCAAACTACTTCCGCAGCAGCCAGCCAGAAAGGACAGACTAGTAGCCTGATTTAGCTTGATTTGGGGGGGG